CCCGTGGAGCCCCCCCCCCCCCCCCCCCCCCCCAGCTTCTTAATACTGGCATGTGAGAACTAGCTCCACACCAAGTGAAAAGTACATTATAATCCATCATGTCTTAGGCTAAACCTAGACTGTAATGTTAATAGTGCTATTTTGGAAGCCCTTGTCCAGTATAACAGCAACAAATATAAGCCCAAGGACTTAAGTATGCTTAGCAAGTGCTCGCCTCACTGAGCTGGCTCAGCCTCTAACAAACAAGAGTAAAAAGAATGTAAAATGTAGCACTGTGGAATATTAGTGTGGACATCTATAAATGGGTTTAAAATGTATGTTAAATAGGACTTCCTGCTGATGCTAGATGACTAATGTAGTTATCAGAATCCACTGCCATCCTTTGTAGACAACATGTTCCCACTCTTTTAGATCCTTTGAAATGATACCTGTAGGTTTATAGTCTGTCTGGATGACTCTGATATATTTAAATAGCCAGGTGGTGGTGATGCACACATCTAATCCCAGCACTGGGGAGGTAGGGGCAGGTGGATCTCTGTGTATTTGACACCAGTCTGGTATACAGAGCGAGTTCCAGGACAATCAGGACAGAGAAGCCCTGTCTCAAAAACCAAACAAAAAAATTGTGAACGTCACTGAAAATAGATCCATTTATAGTACTTCAAAGTTTATCAGTAATCTTAGAGTTGTACATATTCTGTATGGAAAAAACCGAAACTGTTAGTATGTATGTGTTTTCAAATTCTTTTTTAATAAAAATAATTTAATTTTTAATAATATTACTCAAATATGGTGTTCCATCTGCATGTATACCTGCATGCCAGAAGGTCCCATTATAGATGTCTGTGAGCTACCATATGGTTGCTGGGAATTGAACTCAGGACCTCTGGAAGAGCTGCCAGTGCTCTTAACTATCTCTCCAGCCCTGATCTTCACATTCTTATTTATTAAGAACTATCTGTTCTGAAGAGAAAAGCTTAAGTGTTAGAGCCCACTACTCACATCATTACAATCTGAGCCAGTTCCCAGCATAATAAAATTTTTCTTCCAAAGCAGAAATGAATCTATATAAATACTATGACAAATCTAGTGTAATGGCTTCTATTTGTAATCCCAACATTGGGAATCTGAGTCAGAAAGACTGCCAAGAGTTTGAAGCCAGGCTGGGCTACATAGTGAGACCTTGTCTCATACGTATATATTGAATGTAGTGAAGGAGAAACAGTGTACAATTGTGTTGTTAACAAGTGAGTCAGTTTATTGGAAGCACTCTCAAAGGACCTTCATTTAAGTTCTTATAGCAAAAATGATTTTCTCAAAGCTGTAGAGATACTCGTCTATATAGCAGTCTTTGCTGTACTTGGCATTTAGCACTTGAGTTCATCACACTATGTTTTTATGAGCCTCTTTGTATACACTGTATTTCTTTAAAATTCTTTGGACTGGCCAGGCATCATTGAACATGTCTTTGTTGAGATTACAATTGTAACATTTCTCCCTTCTCTTTCCTTTTTCCAAACACTCCCATATAACCCTCCCTGTTCTTCAAATTTATGGCCTCTTTTTAATTTACATTCCTAAATACACCTGCTCAGTCCATACAGTGTTGCTTGTGTGAATGTTTTCAGGGCTGAGTGTTTGGCCCTGGACAGCCAGTTGGTGTGTTCTTCTCTGAGGAGGACCATCTCTCCCACTTGTGGTTTTCCAGCTTTCCTCAGTTGCCTGTGGTTCTTGTCTTGGGCTGAGGCCTCCTGGACTTTCCTTATTCACTTTGACATGTGCATTGGTGGTGTCCCCATTCAGCTCATGTTTGGGCAGCATGTTAGTGAGACTTAATAGCTATAGCTTCTGGCTTGACTAGGAGACACAGTTGCACAGCAAACTCCCCGATCCTCTGGCTGTTAGTCTTTCTGCCCCTCCCTCTTACAGTGTTCCCTAAGCTCATGCCTTTTATTCATCCTGAGGATCTACAAAGTGAGTTCCATCTTCGACAAACACCTTTAATCCCAGCCCTTGGGAGGCAGAGGCAGGCAAGTTCTCTGACAATTTGAGGCCAGCCTGATCTACAGAGTTCCAGGACAGCCATGGCTACACAATTACTGTATAAACCCATACTGCTTCATAAATAAATGCTCTGAGAATATTTGTTTTTTGTTTACTGATAATATGTGACACCTTCCTGAAGTATCTAGTGTGAATTAAATTGTTACTCACCATGAAGTGGTGGCTCATGCCTTTAATCCCAGTACTTAGGGCAGAGGCAGGTGGAGCTCTGTGAGTTCGAGTCCAGCCTGGTGTATAGAGTGAGTTATGGGACAGCCAAGGATGTTACATAGAGAAACCTGTCTCAAAAATAAAAAATAAAAAAAAAATGTGCTTGCTTCAGCAGCACGTATACTAAAATTAGAACATTACAGAGAAGATTAGCATGGCTCCTGTGCAGTGATGACATACAAATTTGTGAAATGTTCCATAAAAAAAAATCATTGTTACTCAATTTTTGCTTATAACTTATGGTATAATAGAATTTTATATCAACATAATCAAATTGTAAATAAAGGAAATGGTGGGTAACCTTGTAATAGTTAAAGAATACGATCATGTACTTTTAATTATTGGGTTTACATGCTAACCTATGGAGATCTATTGAGACAGAGTTTATAGAATTGTAAATTACTTTTGTCTTGCAGAAATGTAACTACCAATATTTATCATCTGCAGTGTTGCTGGAGATTATCCACCTTAATGGCTATGCCAGGGGTATATCCTAACATTAATAAAAATGAGCAAGTTTTTCTTATGATCTGTTTGTGTCTCCCCTCCCCTGTTTTTTGCTTTTTGTTTTTGTTTTTAATTTAGTTTAATAAAACATTTGACACATGTTCACTTTAAAAAGCCAAAAAGGGGCTGGGGGTTGTAGACTACTGAAAGTATTGGTTGGTGGATGGTGGCTTATAAACATTAGGTACTTAAGTTCAAATGTATATACATTGTCTACACAGAAGCTGATAGTAGATGGGTGTGGTGATGCACAAATTTTAGCCCAGCACTCCTAGCATTTGAGAGGAGGCAGAGGTAGTCAGATTCCTTCCTATACATTTGAAGCCGAAAGCTGGTAGTAATATATGCAGGAAACAATCATCCTTTGTATCAAGTATGGCAATCCCTCTTTCATATCTAATGTAGCAAAGTTTCGAGTGAAACTGGAGTTTTCTTCTTGTGCTATTTGCATGGTAAATTGGCAAGATTTCCTTTGGAAACAGTGCTGTGCTGGGGTTGTATCTTAGGTGTAAGAGAGAACTCCTACTGGATTGTGAGCTTTATAGAGGAGATGCTTGGTGAGGAGGAGACTGTCTAGGGAGTTTTGAAGAAGTACGAAGAGGATAGAGGATTATGACATCTTTGGTACTAGTGATTGTATTTCCTCTGGGAGTTGCTTATCCCCTCTTAAAAACAGAAAAGCTGTATTTGCAGTGTTCCTAAACAATCTGAATCAGGCCTTGTTGTCGTTGAGAGGTTTGTTTTTGATCCTCTTAGTTTACTTACTCTTAAAAGTCTTAGGACTTTGTATTAAGCATTTCTGGGACCAAATCCCCACTCCCAACCCCGTGTGTGTGTGTGTGTGTGTGTGTGTGTGTGTGTGTGTGTGTGTGTGTGTGTGTGTGTGTAAGCAGAAATGAACACCTAGAGTTTTGATTACATTTTCTTTGCTTTTGTGTGTGTGCCACAGTGCACTATGTATTTTTCAAGGATCAAACTCACGTAGTCAGGCTTGATAGCAGGAGCCTATAGCCTCTGAGCCAGCAGGAGCCTGCCTGCTACCTGCCTTTTAAAGGGTCATCTGATTTCAGGTGCTCCTGGTGCCTCTTTCAGAACCATTCCTTCCCTCAGGTGAATGTGATGAAATACAGTTTTCTCTTTGTCATTTAAAGACCGTTGGTTGTGCTTTTTTGTTTGTTTGTTTGTTTGTTTGTTTGTTTGTTTGTTTGGGGGGTTGTTGTTTGGGTTTTGTTTTGTTTTGTTTGGTAGTGGTGCTTGGTTGTCTACCCAAGGATGGCCTGAAATCCAGAATCATCCTCCCCTAGCTTCCTAGATGCTGAGGTTATAGATGTGCCTATTACAGCCAGCTGGAGAAGGAGTTTGCCTAAGGTTGTAACTAATCTTTCTTGCCAGTGATAAAGGTTTTAATAGGAAATGCTTGGTTGTCAGTGGCTTAGTACCTTACCCAGCTGAATAGTTGTTTTCCTTTATCATCCAAAAGATGGACACCTTTGGCCCCCATTAGATAAATTAGTCACTGGTGTGCCTCATGGCCATTCTGTTGGTGACGGCCACAGGAGCAGCAACTATAGCATAGCTGAGAACACCCTAATCTATCTTTTCCTTTCTTTTCCTCACTTCTAACTGTAGGGAAAACGTCCACAGCGCACAAAGCCAGAGTTGCAACATAGGTTTATGTCTGACCACCTGTCCATCAAATCCATCAAGCTAGAGGTGAGTGTGTCTGAGAGTAAAAAAGTATATTTGAAAAGGGTAGTTCCCATTTCATTTCACATGCTTTCATTCATATTTATTATTCCTTGCCCTTAAAAAAAAAAAGCTTAATCTCAAATGTTCACTGAAGATTTTAGACAGGATTTCTCTGTGTAGTCTTTGCTGTCCTGGAACTTGCTCTGTAGACCAGGCTGGTCTTAGAACTTTTAGGATATCCACCTCCCTCTGTCTCCTGAGTGCTGGGATTAAAGTCGTGCACTGCTACTGCCAGGCTTCAAGAAAGAGTTTTAATATGTATAGTGTTTTTCTGGGAAAAGAAGATAGAAAAATGGAAGATTGGTGACATTCTTTTTATCTTATGTATTCCTGTGTGATAGGCACATATTCAGTCTAACAGATATGAATGTGTTCTGTGATAAAGAAGTTCATGAATGCAAAGATGTAAAAATTTGGAGCCAGGGCAAGAAAGGGTGATTTAGGCAGACAGAGGTGTTTGTTTGGCTTTAGTGTGTGGGATGGCTAGAATTCTGATGGTGAGGAGTGGGTGTGGAATTAAAGCTGAGGATCTTCCTCACAACAAAAGCTGCAAAGCACAAAATGGAATGTATGGTCAGAGATGTGGAAGTGGCTGGCATGTTGTGATATATCGTGGGGTCTCCAGCTCTCATGCCGTGTTTGGTAGAAGTGAGAAATGAGGCTGTTGTTAGGTGCAACTGGTTCAGTGGAGATAAGCTGCTTAAGAGGCAAGTGCTTGCCTGGAAGTCTAGTTGATGACTTTCTCTCCTAAAATGGAAGGCAGAAAAGTATTCCCATTCTGTCACTGCATCAGGTGGGAACATGTTCTCACTTACCTATCTCTGCTCCAGGAAAGTAGCAGGAGGCCTGCTGCGTGTGCCCAGAAAGGCTTTTATAGCATGTTGCTAGTGTACTTCGTGTTCTCACAGCCTGGCTAGCTGTCATATTCTCTCTCCTGTTTATCTCCTCCTGGCACTATCCACCATTGCATATGTAGTGAGGTTAGTAATCACACAAAGCATTACCTCAGGTCACAGTTGTTTTCACTCTTTCACCATGTCTTGTGGTAGCTTGTGAAGTTGGGGAGTTTCTTTTCCTTGCAGTTACATTTTTGTGGCTCTTAATGAAAATGTCAACATGAGACCTTGTGCTCTTTGTAAATTTTTATTGACTTTATTTTTATTTAGGCCAAGCCTAATAGCATAAGCCTATAGTCCTACTACTGTGGAAAGCAAATTCAGTAGGATCATAAATTCAAGGTCAACCTGGAGTGAGATTCACAACCCTCCCTCACACAAATAAGGAAGAGGCATTCATTGGTTTTTACAACTCTTCTTTTGGGCTCTTTGAAACAAAAAGTATTGTTTATGCATGTCAGGCTTGTTCAAGCTCACAGCTTTGCCTTAGACACCTGAGTGCTCGGAGGTGAATACCATCACCGGTGGCTCCTTTTTCTTTTTTCTTTTTCCTTTTTGTTTTAAGACAGGGTTTCTCTATGTAACAGTCCTGGCTGTCTTGGAACTCACTCTCTAGATCCACCTGCCTTTGCCCCCAATGCTGGGTGGGACTAAAGGCATGCACCACCACTGCCCAGCATGTGGCTCCTTCTAAAACCCTACATATTTCTAGTTGACAATTTTGCAATGATTGGCTACACCCCCTGGTAGTCCTCAGCTTGGGAATGGCCTTTTGTTGTTGATACCCACTTTGGTTCTGAGTAGCTTCCAGCTTCTACCTTGGTAGGTTCTCTTTACCTCTTTATTACCTTAAACCTCCTTGACAGCTGTTTTCTTTATGCTCACTGCTTCAGGGAATCTTCCGTGCCCTAATTCATGCCTCAGATTACCTGGCAGTCACTAAAACCTCTTTGTGAGTGAAAGCAGAAGTTGTTTCTTTTCCTCTTTATAGGGGTTGTTATTAAATTCTGTTGCTTAGCTTGAAGTAAAGGAAACTACCCTGTGTAGTTTGTGTTGTGACACCTGCCGTCCTAGAGAAACTGACTTTTGTTTCCAGAGCAGAAAGTCTTTTGTCTTTTGATTCTTTTTGTGTATGCAGGCCCCAACCACCCAGGAGTCCAATACTAATTGCCTCAAAAAGTCTTTTAATTGTGGCTTCTGGGAAAAATATCAGTGCAGAGACACTGATAAGCCAGAGAATAGGGCTGCTGAAGTATTTGTGTCAGTTGGCCCTACTGGATGTCTAGGGAGCAGTTTTAGGATGGTGAGGTCTCAAGTGTGCTCCTGATGGCAAGGATAAGAGTGAATGCCTTGGGGTACAGAGCTTGGGCACTGCTTCAGCTAGAGCTTCTAGTTAATAATCCTTTGGAGGATTTCACAGTGGCTCCTTGTTAGCATTTCATTAAAATGCCTTCATGATTCTAGTAGGTCTCTTTCTTGCTTGTAAGGCATTTAAACCCCAACCACTATAGCATTTGCAGCTGACTCCTAACTTTTCTCTGAGAGAGTCTCACTAGATGGCTTTGGTTCTGAAACTCAAAATACAGCCCAGGGTGAATTTGAGCATGCTGTGTTTTTCCTGCCTTGGCCTCTTGATGGTAATCCACATATGTGCTACCACACCCAGCTGTCCTCTTTTACAGGGGAAGTATTTACAATGTGAGATAGTCAGAGAGGCTGGAGAGATGGCTACATGGCTAAGAGCACTTGCTGCTCTTCTTAGGATCAGAGTTTGGTTTCCAGGATCCATTTTGTGTGGCTCACAACCACATCTCCATCTCCAGGAAACCTGATGCTCTTTCTGCCCTCCATGGGCACTTGCATGCATACCTATACAGAGACACATACACGTAAATAAAAACAAAATTTTTTTAGTCATGCATGTTGACACACACCTTTTAATAATCCCACCACTTGGGAGGTAGATCTCTATGAGGTTAAAGCCAGTCTGGTGTACATGGAGAGTTCCAGGTCAGCCTGGCTCAAATCTTTTTGTAGAAAAGACAGTATGAGAT